ATATATAATAGATTTATAGTAATAGGTATGTTTTAATTATCAGATGTGACGATAGTCATGATTGCTACTATGAGTATATCAGGCTAACTTTTGTTAGGCTTGAATTGATTTTTAAGTCACACAGACATGTAAACTGTGTATCTGCCCCCCGTAGTTATGCAAATGCTTGACACTATGTCAAGAGGCAGATTATTAACAGTCCACGGACACATAGAAGCCCTGTCAGAATGCTCAAAGATGGTTTGCCATCAGCGTGTAGTTGCGCTCTCCTAATATTTGATGTTTACACTGTTAATCTCCCAGATATGCTGACAAAAAATGTTTATATATGGAAATGACATTTTAGCTACTCAAAATAGAAGATTTTTTAGAGGTATAGAGGCCACACACACAAATAATAGACCTTTTAGTGAATTTCCCTTATAGAAATTAAGGTATTTAATTAAAGATAATGGTGAATTTTAGAGGTATCTGATTAAATCAAAAGGAAAAACTTAAATAGAAAACGAATACGTACTTGGTTAACTTAGACCACGTACTCTCTTTAGAGAAACATACCAAAATAAATCACACATAAATCACATAAATCATAAATTTAGAGCTTGGTATACTTTTGTACAGGATCCAGCGCTGAAACCAGTTTCTCGTCTTCATCTTCCTGCTGATGCATCAGCCTTGTTTATGGTCTTTTTGGCAGTTCAATATTTTACTTGTCTGACTGAAGAGTTTGTATACTAAGAGTTGAGGGTAGCGTTTAAAAGGTAAATGATGTGTGTAAAAGGTCTACTCACTTTTTTTTCGACTCTGGACCATTTTTGTGACTTTCAGGAGCTATAGCTCATGCTCCATGTTAAATATTCATGTTTTTGTTTTTAGCGAATTTCCCATATAGGGAATAAGCTATTACCGTAGTACTCATGGTAAGACCTGGACGTGGGACAGATTTTTTTTTTCGTTTTGTGGTCCCTAGAGGCCAAAAACACCATCCGTTCAAATTCATATATATATATATATATATATATATATATATATATATATATATATATATATATATATATATATATATATTTATTTATATATATATATATGTGTGTGTGTGTGTGTGTGTCCGTTAGCACGATAACTCGAGCAAAAATGATCCGATTTTGATGAAATTTGGTACAAACGTGTAAACCTACGCTTATTCGAACGAGTTCGCGATCCAGCATGATCGGACCATGGGAACGGGGGTTTACGGAGGGTTTTATGGGGTAAAATTAGGTTTTTCCCATTTTTGATCCAAAAAACATAAAATTTAGCAATTTATTTCCAAACCATTTTGTAGAGCTTAAAAAAAACAAATAATTTAGTATATTGAAGCGCTATTATGCGCCTAATGGTTACGGAGAAAATTCCAAAAAATTTTAAATTTAAAATTCCCATGTTATTCTTATGGAGAATAAGTAAACTGTTGTAGTTTGCTTGTTTATGAACATATTTTGATCAAATTTGGAAAATGTTTTAATTTCTTACTAACTATTAACATTTTACAAAAAAAAAAAACAGTTTTACCCTCCCTGATGCAGCAAACCTAAGTACTTGTTAAAACTAATTCTATTTAAATCGGGAATAAATGTTATATTTTTAAGTAGACATTTCAGTGTAAATCCAATCAGTCAAATGGAAATTCGCTTAGTCTGCAGGTTTGCTGCGGCGGGGGTATCTCTTAATAATTTATTATCACTGTATCGGTAGGTCCTAAGGCTATGTTAGGATGACAATTGGTACCTCGTTGCCCACGGAAAGGCTTCGCCTATGTGGGGAACTGTACACTATTTGAAGATTTATGTTTTATGTGGTTTGCTCCTTTTATATTTTCAGCTGTTACGTCCTATAACCTTTCTCCTGAGTGTATTAAAGAAAGCTCAGACATCAAAGTATTTAGCAAATTAACACGAAATTACTTACTTGCAATGGATGTAATAGACACACTGTATTGCCACATTCCTTTAGTGATAAAGTACAACTATTCTAAATTGTCTTAGTATGTATTTAAAGTTTGTAGTAATTGTTAAGGATATCCTAAATAGTAAGCATGACTGACAGAGTAGGTAGAGTTGATTTCCGACTGAATACGGTAAGGTTTTGCTTGATAGTGTGTTGTGTAAACGTGTTAGTGAAACCTTGTCTTTTTATCTTTTACATTTTTGTAACAAAGCTGCCTGTAAGTTTTTTAGTTTTATAAGTTTTTTTAGCCTGTGAGTTTGTTTTTTTAAGTGGTACTAACTGGTGACAAACAAGACTTATCAGGTAAGAGTTGTGCTATTTACTAAAAATGTTTATTTCCCGTATAGGACCTATCATCTTAGGGCTTTATTTTTCGATGATAATGAAATAGAAATGTTTATTGAGTAATAATTATACTATCTTTTGCATTAGAGTTAAAATATAATAGCATGATGATCAACTTCATTGTAAAATAACACATGGTATTGTATTTTAAATAACGATAAAGAATTTTAAATTCAATTTAAATAAATTATTTGGACTAACTCGACCACACAACCTAGCAGCACTCACTTAGATTAAAGAGTACGGTTTGTTCTTTATATTTTCTCCTATTAAAAACTACAATGTGTACCCTAATATTGCTGTAACAAAAGTTTTTTTTACACATTTAAGATGGAACATACAATCACTTATTTCAGATCATTATGTGTAGAAAATATGATCAGAGTTGACATTTCCTTTGTTGTGCACTGGCTAGGGTGTAGCTTCAGCTAAAAAATTCAGGTCAATAAATTTAATTTACCACTGGGATGTGGTGTCGTCCTTCAGGGCTCCCTTTGATCATTGTGGGGTCGGAGGGGTTGGGGATGATCCATTATACAGGCAGTTGCGTTCATCACACATTGCTCTCTATGTTATCAAACTATATTTTAATGTTAGCCTTAATGTCAACTGTTCCAAACCTTAATGCTATAATACAGAGGTTTTTAATCTTTTGATGGTTCTGATGTAACTGAAGGTATACAACAAACTTATCCATTAAGATTTGTAAAAATTGTTCATCATTATAGTGAGAGTTATCATAAAAAAACATAGTTTTTTTTGCGATGAACCTGAACAGCAACACGATGCATGATCCTTCTATTATGTAAATTAAGACCTATTCTTGAAGAGGGAAAGCTAAAACGTTTTGATCTATAATCTAGTTCCCTTTTTGTATTAAAGACAATTAAAGATATTTACATTTTGTTTTTTTGTTCGGGTTCTATGTTATTGTGAATGATAAGATAGCATGGTCACACATGATGAAATTGGGTCATGTCCAAACCAAAATTTTTTAATATAGGGATCTGTGATTTACTATTTTAAAAGGTGGGATTATTTTGAATCTTTTTTAAGATTAACATGTGATACATATACAGGGTGTTTTTAAAAGAATGCCGGGATTTTAAATGGTAATTGCTTGGATACTATTCAAGGTAACGAAATGTTTTGTACGTCAAATTGAAGCTAAAATGACTAAGTTTTGTTTCCCGTGCAGCAAGGGAGGAAACTTTGACTTTGGTATGCAACAGTTTCGGCGTGATAGGCCGCTATTGTGACTCATATGCCTGACGCCAGTCGCCAGTGCGACGTTTACGGTGCAACAGAAGGCACAGATCTGTAGTTCGCAGAGGTTATATCCATTGCAAAATTAAAGTAAATTTAAATCTACTTGATGATAAAGAAACTTGAGTTTTGGGGCACCGAAGTGTTTTGAAAAGACATTCACCTGGCTGGCTAAAAACAAACGATGACATAGTCGAATAAATCCGACATTTCTGCATCATAAGCCCGAAAAGTCTATTGCCCGACGAAGTCTTCAGTTTAAAAGACCTAAATTGGTCTCTTTATGTTGTTATCTATAAAAGATAGAGTCTTTGTGACGAAAAAGATTCAGTTAAGTCATCAGATAAAGTTGCCGATCGCCCTAAGCGTACAGACTTTGCCAGTTTTACGCTCATATAAGATTGATGAAAATCTGAATGTTATTAAATCATTCCGAATTGTATGAAAGATTGAGAAAAAAAACTTTATTATTTCCCCTTCAATTTGACGTTTAAATCGTTTAATTATCTTGAATAGTCCCTGAGCAACGACCGTCTGGCATTCTTTTAAAAACACCCTGTACATGTTTTTGACTATGTACCAATTACTATTATGATAGAAAAAATATAGTTTTCTAAGCTTTTTATTGCTATATATCTGCTCACAGAATGATTCTTTCTCACTTTGAGTACACGCAAAACTTCACGTTTGATGGATGAAGATTTACGTGAAATCGCTCCCTTTTGTAACTGACAAGTGAAACCTCGGGTTAAAAGACTCGTACGTGACAGAATAAAACGGCGTAGGAGTTACAAGTTATGAATGGTTACCATTGTAGAGGTGTATTTAATATTTTGCTCCTAAAATTCATACTTAACTTTGAACATTTTAAAATAATAATGATCTACTTTTAAAAATGAATTTAATTTTTGTTAGAATGTTTAAACTTGGAACATGTATATGCTTAACCAATGACAGTATTTTGTTGTATAGAAATTTGTATTATATTATTGCAAACAGTCATATATGACTACGAAGTATCGCCGAATTAACACTAATATTCGATTATTAAATAATATAAAAATAAATAAATGAAGCAAGTAAAGCAATTCGTTTATTTAAGAATTTAACAATTACAATTATAATTTATAAATCTTGTGTTCATTTTAATGGATTGATTAGGAAATAAGAATACTAACGATAATATATTAATATAATATAATTGTTGTAAGATACAAATAAGATATAAATATTTCTTCCTTTTAATTGAGGAATTATTATTTGTAATAATTCCCCTCATTTAGCTTGTGTCATATTAATAATTCAACTAAATTATGTTCATAAGTTGTATATGTGTTTTCTTTATATGATTACCAGAATACAAAAAAAGGATGATTACCAGGGTTCTTACTAAAACATTATACCATTTAACCAAGATAATTCCAAATTATTTATGTATATAATTCACTTAAATCCGTAGTGGTAATTATTTGAACAATTGAAAACAAAATGCAATAAAAATATCAATATTAATAATTTAGTTAAAATCGATGTTAATTCTTTGAATCTCAATTCTGTTTCATCGTTAGTTCAATATCAGAACTTCGTAGGCATGATATTTGATCTCATGGCCTCCGTATGGTATGTACAGGCATCTGTGACTTGGTTGGATCTGAAAAATATAAAAATGTTTTATTAAGAACAAAAGTAAAACAAATGGAATTCCTTATCTTTTGTCTGTACTTATTATATGCCAAAGATTCCATCATTTTGTGAAATCATTTAAATTTTTCTACTCTTAATAATTGCTTAAATTTTAAATATTTTTGCGAAACTTTAAACCTAGACTGTATAAGTCGTTATAGTCATCATGGTAAGCGCACGTAAACATTATAAATAAACCGTATCAGCAATGTCACATACGTTTTTCCTATTGGCTGATCAACGACCCTTATAATGGGTAAATGGTGGGAGTAACTGATATTTTACGGGTAAAATCACAAAAATATAAATAACTTTTGAACTGCACATTATACAGCACTAGGCATTGTTCCATCATATTTAGGATCATTAGTATGAAAGGACCACAACATATAAAACTTTAATCAAAATCGCCCAAGATAGTTTGTCAAAATTTAAACAAATGAAAAACCATCTAGTGATAGTATGGATTAGTAGCCATATACCAAATGTCTTTAAAATCGGACCACATGTGTAGTTTGTAGCTTGATACACATCCGCACACACATACATACACACAGGTATCAATTACGGAACCATTTTCCACCAAAAACTCGAAAACTGACGAAAACAATACTTTCTCTGTAAACCATGTATAGGGAAAAAGTGAAAATGCTAACTAATACATTTATAGTAGTTTACGCAACGATTGCGTAAAGATAGTGTTAACTACACGAGTAGAAAATTTAAGGTACGAGCCTTGGCGAGTGCCTTAAAAACTTCTACTAGTGTCGTTAACATTATTTACGCGAGTTGCGTACACTACTTTACCTACGACATTGTTTTAATTACTAAAAATCACTACTCATAACTTCTAAAAGAGGTTATGTTTTCGTTTATAACCTCTTATTGCCAGTGACAGTGATGCAACGAAACATTGTATCAAACATTAATTGCACCAATCAACAATTAAATTGGCCTGGACAGCTGATTAGTTGAATTTCGAATCATTACAATTTTTCTTCTCCTCTTTCAATCCTTGAACCTCATTGGTCCGTTATCCGTGTTGTTATGAGAAAAACTATGCTGTTATGAAAGTAAACAATGCTGTTATGAGATACTTTTCAATTCTAATAACTGTACTGAAACGGCTACTTTAATAAACGGTCGTAGGTAAAAGTATTAACATGTTATCCGCGATGTAAAAGTGTCTTTGTTGTGTATTTATAAACTTCTAAAGGCGTTTCCCCAATGTGTAAGATTATAACTCGAGTGATAAAAGGATTAATCATCGTATTATCTAATCCATGGACAGGCAATGGTAAAATGGTAGGCTCAATCACTTGACAGAATTAAACCCAAAACAACAACTTGTATTTAATCTCTTTTGAGTTAACATTATGAAAATCCCACACATTATTTAAGGATAGTGGACTAACTTTTACAATGTTCAATCATCAAGTACTGTTACGGTTAAGGGTTAGATAAAAGCATTCATAGAACAGTTAATACTTTGCAACCACACTTAACATTTAATTGTCAAACGTTTTCGTTTATCGAACATTCTCAAACAAACGTTGATAATTTGTAGGGTTTAAAATACAAAGCGAAATCGTTTTTGCATTAAACACATACTCAGAAGTGTTGATAGGCTGCTCAAACGTGTTTCAAGTGTACCGTGGAAGGATTTAAACTGTTTATATATTATATATAACTGCAGAAATATGATCATTTTATTCATCGGAGGAGTACTTGGAATTATTACAATAGAACATCTTTGAAGCCCTCTTAGGGATAGGCAAATCTTCCGATAGAGAGCTTCAAACTACGCTTATTTAAAATCAGAAATGGTTTTATATTTAGTGTGACTGATTAGATAAAGCCAGCTGTAATGTTATGACATTGTTTTGTGGTGTTTTTGTTATACAGGATTAAGTTATCTACAGTGTATCATAGGCCTTCTTACCTCTTATCAATTGTTTTGGATAATTAATACAGCAATTACACTGTTTCATTTATACATAGTTTGATTACAGTATAAACACATTTAAGTAGAAAATCAATATTGTGCAAATGAAAACGAGCGCTTGTCGAGCAAACTATTATCATTTTACTATATCTTCCATAGAAGTGTATCTCATCTAAAGAAGTGGCTTCATCTTGATATATTGTTTATGTGACAGCATACATAAATAATGTGGAGCCGGTAACGTTAGCTGTTGCAGAGAGCAGAGAAGATACAGCTATTGACATCTGTGGTGGATTCTTGGAACTATTTTGAAAGGAGGATGGACGGCGAACGAATACTTTCACCATATAATATTATCGTATCTACGAACGTAACGAATCCTGTGAGCTGTGACTTTTAAGCTGTAATATAGATAGTAATATACTCAATTGATCTACTTTATCTATACATGGTAAATTAAATTGCCCTCTTATGAGTCAAATTCACTAAACGAAACCAGCAGGGTACTTTAAAATTATTTGTCCCTTTTTCCAAGTAAAGCTGACGTTTTCAATTTATTTTGCTAATATTACAGATCATTTTGTTTTAACTTTGAATCTTGATCTGTGTTAAACGTTACCTTTGGCTCCTAAAATTTCAAAACTTATAGAAAATGAAAAGATTTAAATAAACAAAATTAATCATGCGATATTGTAATATAGTTAAATAATTAATAAGACATTTATTTAAATGTAAGTTTCATATACGAGTACAATAGTTTTTAAACCAACTCAAGTTAAAACTGAAAACTTAACTACCCTAGTATATGTACAATGGATTATACTGAAAATTCGCTTCAAAAATGAAATGAAATGAAATGAAATGAAAAATCATTTATTTACACAGGCAAAGTTAGGGCCACATGGCCCTTTCTTACACTTAACCTGTACTTTAAAATATAATATAAATATTTTAACCGAATCATCTTATACAATAAATCAAAACAGAAATCATAGATACAGAATCTTTTATCAAAAATCAGTAAATTTTAAAAATACTTACACACACACTAACCCATACATACGTACAAGTCAGTGACCGCCATGCGCACAAGCCCCTACGACAAACCTACCATGGCCATACGTTCAAAACAGAGATTTTTTAGTGCTGCCACAAACCGGGAACGACTATCGAGGGATTTAATAGCTAAAGGGAGATCGTTCCAAAGACGGCAAGCAGTTACAACAAACGCTCTGTCGTAAACTGCAGTCCTATGGTGAGGCATACGCAAAGTTAATGATGCATGGCGTGAGTATCTAACACTTTCTTCAGCTACAAATCTAAAATCATCTACAAAATATTTTGGAAAATTGTTTTTTAATATTGAATAGGTTAGCGAAAGAATTTTGATTGATCTCAGGTCACATAGCTTTAATAACTTAGAATGAATGTAGAAAGGTGTGATGCGCTCACTGCGTCTTAGATCATAAATGAATCTTAGGCAGTAGTTCTGAGCGCGTTGGAGAGCATCAGCGAGGTTTACAGTCATGTCATTGATCACAGAGTTGCAGTAAGTGAAGTGGGGGAAGACAAGTGATTTAACCAGGTGTAACTTTATGCGCAAAGGCAAGAAATTCTGTAACTTTTTAAGTGAGTGGATTGATGCAAACACCTTTTTACGGATGTCTACTACCGCATCGCCCCAAGTAAGTGTCGAGTTGATAGTAAGCCCTAAGTTTTTGACCTTGTCACTGTAAAGCAAATCTGTTCCATTTATAGTAATTGGATTCGTCGTCAGAAAGTCAATAGAGTTCCGTAAACGTGGATGACAAATTATGATCGGTTTAGTTTTATCGTAGTTAAGTCTGAGTCCGTGTTTATTAGTCCAAGTAATGATTTTCTCAATATCTTCGTTCACTTTCAAAACACTTTCGTTGATCTGTTTGGGTGAAAAATGTGAAATCTGTAAGTCGTCAGCATACATGTGGTATTTACAGTGTGTGAGGACTGAGCTCAAGTCATTTATGTATAGCACGAACAGCAGAGGGCCAAGGATGGACCCCTGAGGCACACCACAAGTAACTGTCTCCCAGCCAGAACGTAAGTCATCAACCTCAACACACTGCCGCCTGTCTGACAGATAGGATCCCAGCCAGTCCAATACACCATTTGAAAACCCTATGGCCCTTAGCTTTTCCAATAGGAGCTTATGATTTACACAGTCAAAGGCTTTAGAAAAATCAAATAGGGTAAGAATCGTACCCTGCCGATGTTCCATTGCTAGTCTAATGTCGTCCGTCACACGTAAAAGTGCTTTTTCTGTACTATGAGCTGTTCGAAAGCCAGACTGTGAGTTGCATAAGATATTGTTTTCAGTCAGAAACTCAGTCATTTGGCAGTGCACGATTCTTTCAAGGCCTTTGGATAATGCGGGCAATATACTGATCGGTCTGAAATCCTGGCAAGAAGCAGGTGCTGGAATCTTATTTAAGGGACGAATTAGGGCAGACTTCCAAGAAATCGGGAATATGCTTTGCCTTACAGATGTATTGAAAGTGCAGGTGATAGTGGGGAGTATAGCAAAGAGAATGTCCTTAATGAAGATAATGTCCTTAATAAAACGAATTGGAATGCCATCAGATCCAATAGCATTACTGCGAATACGTCGAATAGATTTCAGAACATCAGACTGCAGTACAGGTTTGAAAGTGAACTTGGGGTATCCTAATTCTTGTACAGGGAAGTTTCTTAACTCCGTTATGTAACTTACAACTTGTTGTTGATTGATGCTTTGACCAAAGGAAGAGAAGAAAGCGTTTAATTCATTGAGAGGAATATTGACTCTCTGTGCGTCAGGTTGTTTCCCAAGCCCAAGACTTTTTACGTTACGCCATAAAACTCTAGATGGTTGGTTATTATTTTCAAAAATCGTACGAATATGTGTGTCGTAATTTTGAATTCCGCAAAAGTTGTTTAACTCTATTTCGAAAATAACGATACTATCCCATTTCTTCTTGATTCCGGGAACGTCTTGCTCTCCTGAAAAGACAGTCGCGTCTAGCCATCATGCTACGTATTTCAGGGGTAATCCAAGGCACTGGTTGTTTTTTGGTCAAACGTTTTGAAACAATTGGAACATGTTTGTCAAACAGATTTATAATATTGCTGTTTAGTTCATTTAACAGATATAATAAAAATGATAGTTCATGATATAATAAAAATGACAGTTTGTGAACATGTAAATTGTGTTTTGCATTTGTTTTCGTTACTGAATGAGCTATAGGATTTAGAGCATCTAAATCTCCTGACGGATTCAATTATACAACTGTGGGTCGAAATTAGAAAAAGACATTCTTCCAACCCAACAGCGGTCGGAGCGAGCACTACGGAGACTGATCTCCTCCCAGTGCCTTTGCACAGCGTTAAAAAATGTTTTGTATTCTGTTAATTCTTCATCTTTCAATCATTTTAATCATCAAATATTTGTTCTATTTTGTTTTAAATACTTTTAAAATTTACTTGTTAGTTATTTGTATTTACTTTTACGACGTTTTACATTATTTTTATTTATTTTTTTATAAGTAGAAAACCTTTGGTTTTAGTTGGTTTTCACCTTTGATATTAAGCTCCTCTGGTACCCTTAACATAAAAAGGGTCTTTGTGTTACTCCACAAAAAAGGAAGTTCTAATTTCGTTTTTAAAACTTTAAGTATACAAGGCAACCCCATATTTTAGTTATAGTGTATACAAGTCATGTACCTTCCCAGGAGTGAGTGTCCCATCATGCATTGTTCTACCCATGTACAAGTTTTCTCCATCCACAGTTTGTCCAATGACCATTGCCGCGGGTGGAACTCTTCCGTCACGATCTTCCTCCCATGCAGCGTGATGGCTGATCAGCACCTGTTTCATAGATGAAAATTACATTTTGAACATAGATACTACATATTTCTGTGTTAACTACACATAATACATATATCGCACCTGCGTTTTTTTGTAAACTCATACAATAACAGTTTTTGATCGTTTTTTCTGGGTTATTCGCCTTCATCCTGAAAGAAATAGCGAAATTTTGGCCCACAAGATATCAACTGATTTCTTAACCTTTTATTTATCTCTGGTTTTTATCTGAAAACACTATGTTTATATTCTAAAAGATGCGATAGTAAATTTTAGCCAGCTCCTAAATGTTACTGCCGAGTAAACGCCAAGTTCATGACTGTTACTTGTCTGGCAAAGTGATATATGGTTCTTGTACAATATCGGGATGTTACACCGTGGACCTCCAAAGCATGTGGATATCGTAGATTGTTCAATTCAAGGTGTAAAAGCAATGATAATTTAAAGGATGTGACGAATAGAAAATAACCTCACCTCAAACTGATGCACTACGTGTTCCTTGCCTCCCCAAGGCACGTAAGCCTTGTGATGAGAAGGTGCGATCTTGGCTGGAAGCAAATCTCCTTCGTAGTAAGCTCTACCAGCGTACAGGGGACCTCCATCCTTGTCTCTTCCTGCATGTACAGCGTGATATGGTATCTGGCCCGGCTCACAGTGGATCCAATGGAATTCTCCTCTGCAATGAGACGGACGCTCCCATTGGTACCAGTCGTAACCTGCAAAAGGTAATGAGAAAGGTAAAACTTACACAATGGGTTTTAGCATTGACTATGTAGTCAATGGTTTTAGTAACAGTAACCATTGTTCAAGGAATTGTGTAAGAAAAATATAACCAACAAGAAAGTCCTAGGAGAAGGTGACTCCAGCTTGGGACATTGTTGTAAAATCCTGGCCGAGCACCATGCTGCAATTATCCAAGCAAACACGTCTACTTCGTCAAGTAAGTCAGGTGAATATAAATAAGTAAGATGTGTTAGGACGAAGTAGTATTATGAAACGTGGATGAAAAAACAACTGGATGATGTATTTAGTTATCTTCGGAATTTCCCAACGTTACAAACACACAAACGAACTTCAGATGAAGGTAAACTTAATCTTAACATGAAAATGTTGTGTTAAGAAAACATCTTCTGTCCGAAATATAGGGTACTAATTGAAGACCCAATTGAAGTATTGTCCTACGGCCTGATTTTCTTACCACGTTGCTCCATCATTAAGCAGCATTTTGAGAATGTCAGCTTTTACTGAACAGTAATCAATATGTACGACAACGTAGGGGAACTTGCAGTTTACCCACATTTACATACACTTTGCTTTGAAGGCTACTGTGCTTGTGGTGGTTATCATTTTTAAGCTGCCAACTGGACCTAAACATCGACGCGGTTGCCAGCAGAGAGGTCTCAGTGTCTTGCAGGGCATTTCAAATGTGTTAACCTCAACCTATGGAGTACGGTTGGGCAAAAAACTGACAAAACATGAAAGTTTCTTAGAAAAATGTTTTTAAACGTTTGATATTCTTCAACCTTTTTTTGTAAGAGAATAGATTTTACGAGCAGTACAGTAAACCTCTTCTTTTAAACTCCTCCTTTGGCAGGTAGCAGCCCTAGAAGGGTCCTAAAGATATGTCTAAGTTAGTTTTTGCAATATTCAAGAAACGTTGGGACAGTCTAATTGATTGATATTCTGTTTACTGGTATTTAGTTTCCGACGTTCCCAACTATGAAATTGAAACAGGAGAACACAAGTTAACAAAACAAGTACAAGCAAGCTGACTGCATATATACATATGTATCCTGCATATCAGTTAATATACAGGAAGTGTGATGTTGTTTTTGTGGATATTATCATCATGACTGGTGGGATGATTGTGGAATCAGAAAGTGATAGAAACTAAAACCTCCTGTGTTTTGGGCATATTGCAATCATGCCATTTTAGTAACATTTTGCACCATGAACGCTTGTTGATTTTCAATCTTTGTATATTACTAAATATTAGCGTCAACAGCAGTTTCGGTGATAGTGGACGTCTATTAAAGTATTTTTTTAACCCAGCATATTATATCAGACTGGCGAAATTGTGTTGGTTGCTCTTCTGTCAATCGTAGGGAATTCAAGGTTCACCGACATGGAATAGTTCAAGGGGTGTTAATTTTTATTTATACTGATTAACTCCCTCTCTACATAGGAATAACTACCTCTGTTGGGTGGTATCCAAGGGCCAGGGGGTGGAGGGGGGCACCCTCCTGAATACCCAGGGGGTTGGGGGTAGGGTCCCGTTGGACACTCATATCCGTACTGAGGAGGGCCTGGAGGGCCGCCATAGTAGCCTCTGTCTGGTCCGTAACCTAGAATAGAAATTGCTATCTAGATGAATTGCATAGGAAGAACTACATCTTTCCCATTAAGTCCCCTCTGCATAGCAATAACTACCTCTGTTTGGTGGTTTCCAAAGGCTAGTGGGGGAAGGGGGGCACCCTCCTGAATACCCAGGGGGTGGGGGGTAGGGTCCCGGTGGACTCCCATATCCGTACTGAGGAGGCCCTGGTCGAGGATAGTAACCTCTGCCGGGTCCGTAACCTAGAATAGAAATTTCTATCTAGATGAAGTGCATAGAAATATCTAAAATCACCTACACCCCCACCTCAGAAAACCTCCATACTAAGCAAATGCCCATATGTTGTGTTAACGTTGTATTCAAAGGCAACCATAGTAAACAAGGGATTGTACCCTAACATTTATGGCCAGCGCAGACGGAAGAATATTGGCTCGATGAGGTTTTAGGTTTGATGCTAAAACGATAAAACTTGAGTGAAAAAGAACAAACCCCACTTTTGAGGGTACCTACAACGAACGGATTCTCCTTCGAGAAAATATATTTTTCGCTTCTGGGTACCCTGAGATGATCAGTAAAGTGGTTCCGAGCCTACATATTACCATAAACACTACGGTAGTTTATACCTTCTTACGAGGAAGTTTGCTAGAATTTTTTGTGCTTTCCCAGATTTATCTGGGTTTTGTTGTGGAGTTTGTATATTGTTATGTTGGGATACTTTCTCGCCTGAGGACGGGATAAAATTCCAGAATAAGAAACGACGTGGACAGTTTTATTTTTTTATTGTGATTGAAAATTTCCATGATAAACTTTTTACATTTTCAGTAACAATGTGTCATGGCAGCCCAAGTAGTTCAGTTATCACCATCACTGAAGAAATATGTTATCTTCATAAGATTGGTGTTTAATCCACACAAACAATTAACTAAATTTGACATCATTGTCAATGTCAATAGTGCACATCCAGTACATTATAATAGAAAAATTCAGATTACTACTTGGTCAATACCAAGTATTGCATAGGAAATAACTCCAAATATAAGCTCTGCCTTTTTCATTAGAGTGATGGTGAATATGAACTCCTTAATATGCCCAAATTAAGCAGAGCCATGGTTTGGTTTGGAACTTGTTTAAAGTTTTCACTGCAATTTTTGTTTGGTCGTGTGATAAATTGAGGTACTAAAACTTAAAATAATACCCGCCAACATTACCCAATTTTTAGGTTAAATTTAGATACTGGTGGAATATATAACTTACACCATAATCACATTCACGAGTTAAGCAAAACATAAAATTTTCATCTATTTAAGACCAGAAATGTAATATATCCTTCTAAATTTTATGTTTAAATCACACAACTATCATAAGAATAAGAGAAAAAGTGGATTAAAGTGGATTATTGTTTAAGTTTTCCTTGTACATACCCAGGTACCACAAAGGGCATATGTATACAAACATTTTAGTAATCTGCTAGGTGTGCAACACAATGTACAGAAATAAGCAACATTTTACCCTTAAAATCAATATAAATATTTTAAAAATTCAAACATACACACTTCTTAAGACAAATTGCATAAAAAAATTGACAAGAAACCATACTGCAAGCCCCTCTTATTTTCAAGCTATTTGCAGCTGGTCTTATTTTCAACCATAAGTTAAAAATACCCCCACCACCACAGCAAACCTGCAGACTAAGCGAATTTCCATTTGTCTAATTTGATTTTACTTAAAACTATATCAATAACATTAGGTTTAACGAGTACCTAGGTTTGCTGCTACAGGGAGGGTAATAAAGTGTCTTTTTAAGAAAAATATTATTAGCTCAGTATAAAATAAATAATTTGTCCAAGTTTGATCAAAATATCAATAAACAAGCAAACTACAACAGTTTAACTTATTCAAGAATAACATGGACATTTAAAATTTACAATTATTTGAATTTTCTCCGTAAACAATAACCGTACAAAAACACTTCAATAGACTAAATTATTTGTTTTATAAGCTTAAGTTTTAGCTAAGTTTACACGTTTCCCCCAAATTTCATCGAAATCGGATCATTTTTGCTTGAGTTTTCGTGCTAGCGGACACACAGTTGAATTTGAACTGATCGTGTTTTTGGCCTCTGAGGACATCAAAAAGAAAAAGTAAATCGGTCCATGGTCCATGTCTTACCATAAGACCTACGGTAATAGCTTATTCCCTGTATGGGAAATTCGTCATAAGTCAACCTAACCAATTTATTTAGATATCATAAGTTTTTTTACACAAATTAAAACAGATCAGATTTTAAAACCTCGAAATAAACTAAATATATAAAACCTCGTCTGGTAAAACGTTCCAACGATTGAAAAACAAAAATGAAAGCTGTCTCGTGCTGCAGAAAATTAGCATTTCTTCAGGTAATATAACTGAAGTTGTAGTAATAGAAAATCAGTAAAACAACCTGGTAAACCTGGGATCAGATTCCAGATCCCGAAACGTTGTGTATTGTTTTTTACATTCGTGATGGAAAATGTCCGCAATAAACCTTTGAACAACCTGGTAAAGTTTGTTAAACTACAGATAAGCTTTTAACAAAAATCAAGAAGGCTTGAAAAATCTGAATAAAACTTTAGCACTGTAAGACTTCATGCCACAAGTGCACACATATCAGCCAATGTGGCAAAGATAAGTGCAGTAAAATCCGTTGACGTAATGAAAACACTTGGCGCAGTAGATAGTGCAATATTTTTGTGTGCGTTGCACAACTCAGAAGACTGGGTTTGTCATTGGAATGATTTAGGTTATATTTGACAAATAAAACCAAACCACAAATGTAAATAACTTCACTTGATAAGATAACATAAAACTGGAAATTTTCCAAGAATCGATGACATCAGAGTTATGTTTAATAATCTCATTGACTAATGGAATGGTGATTTTAAAGTCTGACAATTGACATACTGATGTCACAGATCTATTCTAATGAATACAGTCATTCAACGGGTTAAACTGTAATACTAAGTTGATGCACGCAAATGGTAGTTGACAAAATATGTCATGGGGCAAAAACAAAGTTCATAATAAGGGGATATTAATTTGTATAATTTTTTTAATCAGACATAAGCTAGTCACGGTGCTCCTCATTTTGACTTATTTACAACTAAAAGTAGTGATACTTTAGCTATTCGATATTCGATCTTTTTGAACTTAGTGTCGTTTGATTGGAAATTTTAAATCCAAAATAAAAGTGTTCTTGACATTTTTTCAAAAAATTGGCAAACTCTTCAATAGTTTAAGCTATACAAGTTAAATTGGCCGCCAATTAGAAATTTTAAATAGGACCAACTTAATAGTTTTCTAACATAGAGTGTTTTTTTTTATTCTAAGTTTTTAAGATTGTTTGGACCAATGAAATGATGAATATGTTATGTGGAAAAACTAAATGGTAGAAATGCGGTTAATGACGCGTTTTTTGATAAAAATACATTCTTGGTTCTCTCTCTATTTTGGTTTAAAGAACCATTTCTCGGAGTTTTACAATGTATTAACGGGGCCCCCTTAAATGTGCTTTAAACCGCTTAATATGAGCGATGAATAAAATCTACTTGTAAAACTAATAATCATAGCTAATTTTATTCCATTTCAAATTGTTCTCAGTTTCAAAGTCAAAGAGTGGTTCAGAATGTGGCTAGTAATTGGTTTACCTCTGTTTGGCGGAGTCCATGAGCCCGGGGGTGGAGGAGGTCCACCCGGGTATCCAGGGGGTCCACCATAGCCACCACCACCATACCCGTAATCTGCAAATAAATTAAGTTAATATGAGAAGAAGAAAGTATTAAAATTGAGTAGACTGAAGAGTAGCATAAGTGAACCATTCATAATTAACATCATTGACTGTTCTAAAGCTAACCTACAGAATACTCCGTGGCCATGCTTCAGGATGTGATGAAGTACTTAGACTACAAACATCTGCCTCGAGAACCATAATATCCAGTACTCTACCTTGGAACAATTATGGACCAATATTAAGAAGGCTGAACGTGTACACTGTTATAGGACAGTATATTCCCCTCCCTTGTACATGTTATAGGTCGAACATTGAGCTACTTAAGATCAGAGGAGATTTTCCAAACCATAATACACGCTGCAGAAACAAAATTGACATTCCGAGATTCCGCCTCACAGGAACAGTGAACTTTGATATTTTTCTACAAGCTTCCCCCAGAAATCGGCATTTTCCGGATAAACCAAAACGTTTGCCAGGTTAGTACGAGATAGGCTTATTCAAAAAGCCTACTACTCCATAAAATACATCTTGACGACAAGTGGTAGAGTGCACATCACCTCAGTAGTCACCGACCAAGTTTTGTTTTAAATTTATATTTTTCCCTGTAAGCTAAAAGTTGTTTTTCTTTTTTGTGGGTTGTAAATACTGTAAGTTAGTTTCACTTTCAGCTATGCTAGTCAACAACACATGAAAGGATCTATAGCAAGACAAGCTTAGACTAAACGTGTCCACGATTGTAAACTCACTTTCGTTTTGTCAATTTCATGTCATGTTATTATTACGCCAAACTAAATGTCAAATCAAACATGTTTTTCCCAAAAAGTCAGTTTAAAAATTATAAATAAGAAACGTACACCTATCAAGACGTATAATTAGCCCAATAAAGACTAGGTAACTTTAAAACTCTCCAATTGGACCTGAACTGTGTGACCGGCTGTAACCGAGCGTCATTGTAACGTCTTTTTTACACATTTACCTCACTATAAATAGCACCAAGACGTAAAATTATGAATGCATGTTAACTTCTACCATCATATTATAAAATTCATTGATCATTGATGAAGCTTTAACAAACCAAGGCCTACATGATATTATGCACATCGATAAAGAATAAAATATAGGTGGCTTCAATAATATTGCTCATAGATATAACAGAACTAATTTTATATGGATCAGGGAATTAAATTGTTGTGCAATTCATATTTTGAAATTTAATTGTCCCAAAACAAACTTTAGATACTACAACAAGCTTATACTCTAATGAGGTAAAATCTACAAGCTTGTCTTAACTAGGCCTACAGTTGTATAAAGGATTGATTTTAGGATAACCAAATAGGCAATGATTTCTTAAAAACCTCTTTTATTTTACTTGAAAGTCAAAACTTTTAGTTTTAAGTCACTATCTTGAAAAAAACATGATTATAGCGTATCATCCTGAACTGTAATTATAATATATATTTCTTTATCCCTTCATATCTAGGTGCATCTCATTGATAGCAAAGGTGTGCTTATGTATTAATCGTTTACCCAATTGTAAGATTCGTTTCAATGACTAATACACTAGTTCAGAGTGGGATGTCTTAATAATCTTATGATTATGTCTTAATTCTTAAAAGTAATTAATTCTTAATTCTTAAATGCGACGTTCATAGATCGAAGCAGTTTTCTAAGTAGTAATAATAACGAAATGGTGATGTTGTGCACATATTTAAAAATATATATAAATTGGTTCTCATTCAATTATTGAACATTGGTCTCATTCGCTTTTGGAAATTAGAATTATTTAAAGTTAAGCCTCGTTATAGTTTCTTTATCAACGAACTACTTTATTGAGATATGTTGTGTTCCAATTGATGTAATTTATTTAACTAGTTCAATTTCCAAACACAGGAACCATAAGGATAAAAGTTATACTTTTAGTTATAGTAAGGTTTTTTAATCAACATATTTCAAAACAGCACCTAATTAATATTTAAATTAATTATATGATTTATTGTGATTTTGTGGTATCAATTGTATTAAAAAGGCTAACTAAATTATTTTATGTATTTCGATTTTAGGTGTTGATGTTAATATTTTATAATACTATTTCTAGTGGTAGTAAATTGAAAATTAGTTACAAGTTGGATATGGAAAACAATCATTTCATCAAAGCGAAGCATGTATTGTCTTTTAAGAAACAGATCAATTTCAAATTGCTCTTTTACATAAACTGTAATGAGCTTAACTTCAATCTTAACAAATTCCTTTCTCCATACTAATGCAGCACAATCTGGTATAACTAATACCCCCGCCGCAGCAAACCTGCAGACTAAGCGAATTTCCATTTGCCTGATTGGATTTACACTAAAATGTCTCCTTAAAAATATCACATTTATTCCCTATTTAAATAACATTAAATTAACGAGTACTTAAGGTTTGCTGCAACAGGGGGGAAATGTAATAGTTAAGTATGAAATTAATGCATTTTCCAAATTTTATCAAAATATGTTCAAAAACAAGCAAACTACAACAGTTTACTTATTCTCCATAAGAATAACATGGGAATTTTAAATTAGAATTTTCGATTTTTGGAATTTTCTCCGTAACCATTAGGCGCATATTAACGCTTCGATATACTGAATTATTTGTTTTTTTAAGCTCTACAAAATGGTTTGGAAAGAAATTGCTAAATTTTAAGTTTTTAGGGAAATAATGGGAAAAACCAATTTTTACCCCATAAACCCCTGTTCCCATAGTCCGATCATGCTGGTTTGCGAACTCGTTCGAATAAACGTAGGTTAACACGTTTGTACCAAATTTCATCAAAATCGGATGACTTTTGCTCGAGTTATCGCGCTAACGGACACATATATAAATAAATAAATATATATATATATATGAATTTGAACGGATGGTGTTTTTTTTTGGTCTCGAGGGACCTCAAAACGAAAAAGTAAATCGGTCCCGGGTCCAGGTCTTACCATGAGTACTACGGTAATAGCTTATTCCCTATAGGGGAAATTCGCTAAAATCAATCTAACATGTATTGTGGTATTTTTATCTTTATTATAACAAAATTAAAATCTCATACATAAATAATGTACAACATATTTGTACAAACAATTGAATATAATAGTTTTATATTAACCATTGGGTTTAGAAATAAACTTTCTGGCATATGAAGTTAGAAAAACAAAATGACTATAATATATAAAAAAATCTCTAGAATATTATTTTGGTGATGTCTTACCTGACATGCTTGCTGGTGAAAATGTAGAGTGAAGCTCTTGGATACTCTACGACTCTTGTAGTCGTGTTATCAGCTGATTAGGCTTTTGAAGAGTTCCATGTCATGTGAGCGAGTCTGTGAGTCATATTGAGTCACGCCTTTTCACAACCATAATCTAAATCTTTCAATATTTAACTTTAGGAATTGAGTCAGATTGTAAAATTAGTTTTGAGATATATTGTAAACATAGTTTTTCTTTCGGCGTAATCTTTGTTTCTGAAAATCACACTGTTAACGTGCCTTTTTAGTATATATGTGTATATATAGGCAAGTGTATTTAATTATATTATATCAATTATTATCCTCAATAATATCGGGTAAAATATAATTATAAAAGTCCTGATTCATACATGTGCATGATGTTCATCATTTAAGTATAATACACATAGGGTTCCCAAAAGTCATTTTTCTGCAAAAAAAATAAAAAAATAAAAAATTAAAACATATATACTACATTAATATTTATTGGGTTTGATAAAATTATATTAAGTGTTCTTTAGAGTATGATGTTTAGTTAACTTAAAAATCAAAGTACTGTTCAGCATTTATTAGGTTGTTGTGAGCATCCTACGAAAAAATAACTTTTCAAATAAGCCTACACAATTGGGTTGTTACGATTTACTGGTAACGTTGAGTCTTAAAGGCATACACAAGATTAAGTAAGTGACTTATTGCACAGGAATAATATAGGTTGCAACGTTAAACATCTTTTACTAAACAAATAGTAGGGAATATATTTTTTAAACCAATACAAGACTCTTAAATATCAAAAAATACTCTCTCGCTCAATTCAATTATAAAATTAATACTAACGTAATTTTTTCTTTGTAAAATAACACTACATAGCTTTGCAATATTTATAAGACTAATTAAAATGGGTTGGTAAATTCAAAGTTGTTTAAAGTGTATCTCCTGAAAAAAGAAAACAAACAGAAAATTAGTATAGTACCGGTATCAAGGTTTCATACATCTGAATTTAACCTTAGTATAGTATAGTTGTCAAACAGTAACTATACATGCAGTATATCTTTACACAATACACATATAATAGTTTCTAGTTTCATATGTAACCTGTTGGAAGAATACACGATGAAACAAGATTTCCTTCTTTGCGTTTTGGAATTAATTGAATTCAATGAATTCAAATTAAATGGAGTTCTTTTAACAAGTGTAATTGGTTTAACATTTAAATTACATCTGTGCTTGAATATATGATCTTACTTTGTGGTTCAGCTCTTTGTTGTAAAATCGAATAAAGTTGTAGGTCCAAAGGATGAATATGCTTTTATCGGGAAGAGATAATTTATATTTAGTATAATATTTATCCCTAACCTGTTTTTTCCAAAGCTTTCAGAAATATTACTCATTCCAATTACGTGCAGATTTCAACTAAATAAAATGCTTACCGTAATCAGAATTTAAAAAAAGATATTTTTAACTATGTTAGATGGATCACATATTTAAGTACTGTCATAAAGCTTATCTACATTAATTATCCTCTCGTAAGTCTTGAATTCGTAGCAATTTAAATTCTGAAAATGTTTTTCATTAGTTAATCATTTTTTAAATATAAAATCATGTAATATAATATGAAACCCCTAAAAGAAAACCATTAAATGAGCATATACAATGTCTTAAGTTTTATATTTAACGATCATCAAATTGATTTTGCTTCGCAGAAATCTGATTTAGCATTTGTTTTCCAAGTATTCCACAATCCTTGATTACTAGAGAAAAGAAAATTATTAAATTCTAAAAAATTTAACAAGTTAAAATGACGACTAGTGGTTTTTAAAATAGTATTTCAATTTTATGTTTTATTTAATTACTGTGGGTGTTTTAATTCATCGTATCTGTTTGGTTTTTTTATTAAATAAAATATTGGAACGGATTATTTTTCGTTAAATAAATAGCTTTTTTTATTATTTTAGAATTACGTTAACCATAGAACGATCAAGTATGAGTGTGCATAGTAACTTAAGCTAATGCGTAATACATAACACTGAGTGGTGCGTATGACGAGGGACATGCGTGCAACACACCTACTCCTCTGATTTCCAGAAAACTACAACTGTTATCACTTGAGTGGCGACAATTGACCTTTACTGTTTTCTAATCTATAGAGATAAACCACAAATGAACCAGTCAGGATACATAAAATAGTTTACAAGGTCAAACAATAATTTTAGAAAATCATTGCTTTATGGAAATAAATAAACAACAGTATGAAATCGATTTCACAAGCGTAGTTTGTAGTTTATAAAAAACAGACTTTAACACTAGAGATTGATCCTATGCTTAACTTGCCATTTGATCAAGTTTATCATGTGATAAATTTATGATAAGTTTATCATATCATGTGATAAATATGATGACGCGTTGTTATCCTTTGATTGTGTCTTACATGATTACAACAACGTAGTTTCATCACATACGATTGATACCACATAACGAACCGACAATAGTCATATGGTGAACTTTTTCAGTATTTTAGATGACAAAACAATTATAAGATCATGGCCAAACTGATATTTCGGATTCAAAATATGACATCTTTCTGTTGCTTTGTTTCCCCATCTCCGGAGCAAAAGATCGATTACTCTTTTAGATTATTCGATTATTCCAGCAAATCGTTGTTATAGTTAGTATACGCACGAACCATAGATGAATTATCAATTGTTTGAGATGGGGACTAGGTGCGTATTTCAACCCGAATATATGAGTGAAGGATGAGTGGTGTGAGATGATCTAATCGTCTTCATGGATTAGTTTAGAGAAGTTAAGGTGTTTTCTGTCCGGTTTAAGTATGGAACGTATTGTTGTTTACTTGTTTTTTTTTTTTTTTTTTTTTTGTATGACCAATTTTATGACAATTTCAATTAAGAAGAATAATACATTTGAGACCTTTCACCTAGCTTTTGGTGTTATTACCAATGAAAAGATCATTAATTAAAAATTTTACACTAATTTAAGATTGAAAAATCCACTCTATATTTAGTCAAAATCAAACATAACCATAATGAAAATCACAACAGGCTGCAGACTTTACAACAGCATGAGAAGTATACTTACACTATTCAAAGTCAATGCAGGAAAAATCTGCTTGGGAACTATATATGACTAAATATGAAGTAACATTTTTTAAACAATGGGCGTTTGTACTCTGCTTAGATATTAGTTAAAAACACATGTTACGGAGGTAGAAATGCAATTTGTTGTGACTTGTAAGTTGACGCTGAATATAAGGGTTTCTTCCCACAGAAAATTTACTGAAACATGAAGATGCTTATGATAGCAAAACTATATGTTAAGCAACATAATAAAAAAATATCTATTTGAAAAATTATCCAACTTTAAGGCATTAAAAATAGCTTAATGCATGTCAATATTACTCATATACACTTTTTCTAGGGCGCATTTTTATTGCAAAATAGTGTTAAACAAAACTGTATACGTTGCGTTTATTCAATATGAAGTACAAGTCCTTCCACCCTTTTCATGTTTTCTCCCAACACAATCTAGCATAATGTGCAGTTGTTTAACACTGGTTTAGTATTAGCCTGGTTGTGTTTATTTATTTATTTGTATACGGCAAACACCATTTTACATTTCACATTGCAATTATATATTGTAAAGCGTGTTAGCACTAAGTAAATCTTTCTACATTGTTTGAAAGTCCTGCTTAATGGTTTAATTTAACATCCCTATAACCCCAAATATTTCACACACAACCAAATAATGATACGTTAATACTTTGAACTTGAGAACTATCATTAAAATTCGTTGATAACTTAAATAAATTGTGGCTTGAAGCTATGTAATCATACTTTTATCTGTAGCTCAAGCTACATTCACTTCAAATTTCCTGGGTTGAAATTTTACCAAACGGCAATATTTTATTACTTTTGCCATTAGTTTAACACTGTTGTTTATTCAATAGGAATAATTACAAATTGAATGATTATCTGTCCCAGTTTTCTCTGGGTTAGCACCGCAACACAAAATAATTATCCTACTAGTGTACACGTTGCTCGAAATCGAACAATTGCAAAGAAGTAGTTATTTAAAAACAAATAAAAGTCATCATAATTTCTGATGAGTTTAAAAGACTCAACTCATAGATACGTACCTAACAGTTCCATATAATCAACATTTCTTTTAAATAGTTTATCATTTTTCAAAAGCTAAACTGGTTTTTTAAATGTTTCCCACTTATGGCCGTATAAGTTGTCCATGTTGATCTTCGTCAATGATAATGTAGTCTGCATGGTTACCCATTGACATAAGTACCCATTGTCGCCAGTACGTTTACAAATTTCAGCGAATTGTTTATAGCGATAACATTTTGTTTACATGACTAAGAACTACCTGATTTTCTGCATAACCTCTCTGTCGCAATTTTGTTTGCATCAATTGGCATTCATTTGGCTGGTTACTGTTATATCGTAGATTACATTTACCTGAAAAATGCAGAATTGAAAGGCCTAATGTCGTTCAGATGGTTTTTGGTTTCTCTTCAATGTGAATAATGCGAATCCTTCAATGAAAGTTGTATTAAGGTTTCTTGGACGTAGTCACATTCTTTTAAAATCACTTGACTTTTATAAAAAACATATATTTAATGATTAATGTCCTTGCCGTACCAGTTTAATTCAGACTTAGGGGGTTCCTTTGCCAATCATCATAAAGTTAAGTCCATGTTTCCTAAAATATAGTAGCACTTCGGGTAACATCCTTGTTCATTATTTGTGGGAATCTTCATATTGTAGCTGTAGGTGTTCTTCATTATACAGGGTGAGTTTCTACTGACGCCCATAACTTCGCCAGTAGATTCTACTGATCAAAATGAACAAAAAAGTTAATATAAACCCTAGTCCGATTCCGAACCGTTTGGTCGTAATTGAGAATTTTGTGTTTTCTAAAAATATTGGACTTTCTGTCACTATTTACTTTATAAAATTAAACCAATTACTCTAGCGATTTATATC